TATATATATATATATATATATAAAGAAAAATAAATGTGCTTAAAGAGATGCAACCTCAGGATGCATTACTGCACTTAGTCGTTGAAGCGCGATTCCTGCAGCCACAGATACAGGCAAACCAGCACTATTATCATTCACTTCATTTATTGGCAATACAGAGATTATTTTACTGCAGCGCCGTAAGAGAGAAAAGGGAGGAAGAATGCCTTCTTGTGGAATCAAAAGCACCACAGATGGTTTAGTCAAGGCGGTTGTTGTATCCATCGCGGCAGAAATATGATCTTCTCTATCACAGAGACTTAACGTAAAGTTGGCTTGACGGCGGTGTGTGTGCAACCACGCGAGGGATTCTGTCAATCCTCTCTCCTCCTGCATCTTCTTCTTCTTCTTTATCATTAAGGAATCTTGTTTATTACTATTACGAGAATGTCTCTTCCTTTCCTCCTCTTCTCCTTCTTCCTCTTCTTCCTTCACTCTATCTTCACATTCCACAACCCCATCTGTATAGAGAAAGCTGTGTCCACAGTCGAGAAACCACCAGATGGTTGGGGCCTCACTCACTTCCTCAAGCCGCTTTTGTAATTCCTCCGCCCACACTTCTCTCTCATCACAATTTCCTTCGCAGGATGTGCCTAAGAAAATAGGTGGGGTGTAATGTTGTGTTCCTATCGTTCCAACCACATTTACTTTTTTACGCCCAAAGTAATAGACATGATCCACCAAAAAGGCATTCGCACTACGAACAATACCACCCAGACTACGTTGATCCATCATATTTTCATACAGTACCGATAAACCAAAACGTAAAGCTTTGGATGAAACTCGTTCAAAAGAGCATATGCGCAAAAGTAGTTGACGAAGATTATAATGTAACTCCATAATACTTTTAATATCTTTTTTATAATATAAAGGATGAATAGGTCTTTGATCAATACGTGAGAAGGTGGAATCATCTTTTTTCATTGGAAGTTTTTCTTTAAAGCAACGTTGATAGGCACAAAGTGCATCCCATTGATTACTACTCAACATGCATTGATTCTTTTCTTTTGCAGTTTCTGCTAAAGACCGTGAGTTTGGATAATGTAAATCCAACACGGTGTAAAAAAGAGCAATACCCATAGAAGTTACCACATTAAGTGAACTAATGGTACCATACTGTGGAACGTAAATAACCTTTTCCGCTAAGAAATCACTATTAGCATCTCCCTTTATGCCATCAAGGAATTTCTTACTTACACCATTGTTTTCATGTCCAATCACAAGGCGTGCTGCGGCAGGGACACGAGAAAGATGAATACTCTCTGCTCGAGAAGTGAAGTTCTCTAACGCCACGAGGGGAAATTGCTGAAGAGAAGAATCCTGTAAAAAGAATTTCTCACCAAACTGTGCCCATTCACGTGTTGCGGGGGGAATCGTAACAACGGAGGTATTCACATCCCCCGCTGGGTCTTGTATTCTATTATGAGAATGTAAACCATGTATATCTTCCATACGTGTTAATGCCAAGAAGGATGGTGGGGCGGCGATACCAAAATGTCCACATGTACGTATAGAGTTCATCGCATTAAAGGCACTTGTGCAACCCTCCATTCCAACGTACATGTGAGGAAGAATATTTCTCTGTTGCCATCCATATTGTAATCGTTCGGACCATCTTGTTAACGGATCAGCGAAAATAACGCGTTTGGGTGGCGCAGAAGACTGTCTGCATCTCCGTATGGTGTAACCAAGTCTCCGTATGGGTGAAAAAACGAACATAAACCTCTTATACGGAAGGAGTGGGTTTCACTAAGGTATCATAAGAGAATAAAAACGATTTTTTTTTTCTCTCTTACGTGTTTCAATGTCCTTCCAATATAATAACAATAATAATGGATCTCACACCAAAAGTCTTGATATGACTGGTACGCACCGTAAAGTGTTTGATGATTACTTTGTAAGAAAATAATAATAAAAAAAGAAATAAGAGAAAAGTTTATGGCTCCTTTGGTAGAATATGTATACATATACCTATGGAAAAGCACAGGTATCAAGTGAAAACAAGATGAAACCCAAGAGAAAGGGTCTGATGCATATACGACCCTCACATGGCTAAGAAGAAGTGCAGTTCATTTCATTGACAAAGGTATTAAAAAAAAAAAAAAAAAATAGAAGAAAAGAATGAACACAGATCATGATTGACATCAGCACAAGGATTGAAAAATAATAATCTTATCCTTTAGACCGATAGTCATATCTTCTTTTTTTTTTTTCGTTCTTACTTATCACGTTTGTTTCCCTTTATCCTATTTCAATGTTTTCACATGAAACAAAAAAAAGATAATAGTGATATCACAGGTTATTTACCTGTTTATAAAAAAAAAAAGAAGATATCATGACTCTTTTCTATTTTCTCTCTTACTATTTCCTCTTCTTCTTTTTGTTGTTGTTTTTGTTTTTGTTGCTTCTCTTCAGTTCTTTTCCTCTCCTATACAAGCACACACACACACATATGAAGGGTTGTAAAGGGTCCGTTTATTTTCTTTTTTTCTCTCTTGTTTTCTAACCGTGTTTACTGCAGTAATTCTTCACGTATATGTATGCCTCTGCACAGCAACATCACTGCTATTATCATTATAACCCTTCCAGAATAATATAAAAAGAAAAGTACGACTTTACAACAGGAAATTACCATTCATCTTTTTTTTCTCTTTCTTCTTCTTTTTCTTCTTCTTCTTCTGCATGTTTTAAAAATCATATCAGGTATCCAATTATACGCGTAGACAATAAAGAGAGATACACACACACTCCAAAAGAGTGAATGAAAATAAAGAAGAAGGAAACGCACGAAACAATTTTCATTATGGGTATTGATATCACACTCTGCCCTCTTTTTTTTTTCTTACTAACGCTCATTTGATCATTCAGTTCTTTTCTTTTATCGGTTTACACACACACACACACACACAGAGAGAGAGAGAGAGAGAGAGAAACAATGGAACCCTACGGTCTCTCATTCTATCTTCACACACCCTTGGGTTCCCTTCGCTCTCACTTAAAAAATGAAGTTCATTTTTTTTATTTTTTTTCCCCTATCTTCTTTGCCCTCTTACTGTTCTCTCTTTTCCCTTCTATTCTGCTCAGATATAGAAATAAGAAGCACCCCAATTTTTTTTTTTTTTTCTACTAAGTGAAACAACAGCTGGAGGAGCCAAAAGAAGAGAAAAGGCTTTTTTATTCTTTTTTATTCCAAGACGCACAGTTGACTTCATAAGGGATATATAGACATGCTAGTTAATACTTGCCTTCATGCCTACACTTGCGTGTCTGTGTGTATGTGTGCGAACCTGCAAGAAAAAAAAAAAAGAGAAATCAACACAGTGCAGAAAACGGTCAAAGAAGAAATCCAAGTAAAAAGAAAAGAACGAAACCGAGAGCAATAACACAAATAAAAGATTAATCATAGGTGGGATCGAAAATAAAACTTGAGGAAAGCGGAGAAACACCAGAGATGAGAAGCAAAAGACCATCTGCTATTATATATATGTATTGTTATTATATATATAAATATATGTATGTATATTCTTATTATATATTATATATACATACATATATTTATATATATAATAACAATACATATACATACAGTTATATATATATGTATATATAACTCATTTCTGGTGTGGCTCTTTTTTCTCTTGGCTTTTCGCTGACAACGAACGTTGCACCAATATTTCAGGATAGCATTTCCGTTGTACATATCACAATGTGACGGACTTGATATCTGAAAACTCTATGCCAACATCTGTATTCATAAGTGAAAAAAGATTTTTCGTCCCTCTTTTAGATTTATCATTATATTTATTATGATTCACTTCTTTTAGGATTTCAAATGTTAACATTTTGTACGGAGTAGTCTATTTCTTCATGGTACTATGTTTCTTGCAGTTGGTTCCTTCCAAGTAGTTTCTCTTCTCTTCTCTTCTCTTCTCTTCTTCTTAACGCACATTTATTGCATCGTCTCTTCTCGCTCTGTGGACTTCCTTCCCGACCAGGGATTTTTTTTTTTTTTTTGCTTCCAATTATTTTCATCCTACTTGAACGGTTCTCATAAAAAAAAAAGGAAAATAATAATAACGCTTTGCCGAACCCACGATCAGAGATAAACTTGTTCAGGCTTATCACAGAAATCGACTATACTTTTTATTTAACCCACAGTAATGAATGGGCAAATAATCAGTTAACCGTCTTGGCAAAACGAAAAAAAAAAAAAAAATAGAGAGCAAAGAAACAGACTATATCACACACAAAAGCTACTGATACTCAGTATTAGCTCGTTTTTTAATAGCTTCATTATTCTCTTTCCATGACAAAGTGCATCCCCCTTTACACTTCATTGTACGACATCTTGTTTCAGTTTGTCTCCGTATCTCTAATTATCAATCCCCCTCATAGCTAGGTTGGTTGTTTGGATCCTTTTTTTTTTTTTTTTTCCTTGGCGTCAGAACGAGAGTAAAAGATGAGGTACCATCTGCCAACCTTTTCTTTTCACTCTTATTGTAAAATATTACTCTTCTTCTTATACACGCAAAAGGGATTATTTACTCTTAATTCCGTTTTTTCTTTTCTTAATTTTTATTCTTACTTATTTTTTTTTTTTTTATTATTCTTGCGGTTGCTGCTGCTGTGCCGGAGCAGCTGGAGTCTGCGCAGGCATCATTGTCTGTTGAGCTTGTTGTATTTCCATGTAGTTTGTAGGACCACTGCCATGAGCCCCACTACCAGATCCGTCGGTAGTGTTGTTGTTATTATTGATATCATTAACACCGTTGCTATTGGTGTTATTGCTGTTAGTACCGTTAGCAGTAGTTTTCATGCGGTAAGGGTTTCCATCTCCACCGCGTTGGTTACCAGTACCGTGTGGAAGTACTGCAAGCTCATCCGAGCTGTGTGCAAAGGCGCAGCTGTCACCCCACGTGCACTTCCCTCCATTTTGAATATTCATGCACATCTTTGTCTTTAGCTTTGTTTGATCAATTCCACGACGCACTCGTCCCACACGGTATCCTGGGGCCTGATTTGTGCGTTGCAGCACCTCTGGGGGTATCTGCCAATGTGTGGTGCGGGTGTTGTGATCAATGTAATACACTTCACCTTCCGGTGAGTACGCGGCCTGCCAGCCAATAGGAAGGTGTAAGGCTCCATACTGAGCTGCCGGCGCACCCCGATCAAATCGCTGGGGGTAAGACATTTTTTTTTTTTTTTTTAAAGGATTAGTTGTGAAATGGGTTGGTGTTATCTGGTTTGTTTTTCACCGCACGTTCAGATCCCCAAGAAGTACTTTGTTCTCACAATATACGTCTTCTTTTCAGAGTAACCTCGTTTACTCTCTCTGGCAAATTCGCCTTCTTCTTTACAATTCAAAAATAAACCTCGTTCTTTTCTTAAACGTCTTGTTACGTTGCGCTTATCGTATTACTTGCAAAGGATCTCTCTTTGTTTGGCGTATGTAATCTTATTGTGTATGTGTTTTTTTTTTTTTTTTTTTTAATGATCATACGATTCATTGTTGTAATTATGGTGGGAAGGGAAAATAAATTAAATAAAAAAGGAACAAAAAAAAAATATAGGTAAAGTCAGTAAATAAAGAAATATATATATATATATATACAAAATACTACACTAAAGTAACTGGGTTGTAGTATAGTTAGGGAGATTACAGAGTAAATTTTTTTTGAAATGGAATTCGCTATTCAATAGAGGAATTGGTCACATATAAAAGGAGTAGGAAATGTGAGAGGATCCCTGATGCACTGCGGTTCGAAAAAGATTTCCCTACAAGCTTCTTACCCGCTAGTCATTATAGAGGGAATTTTAAATCTCTTTATTGTAGATAAAGCCCTAACCACAACCCTTGTAGTCGGTTTGAACATCCTTCAACAACAAAAAAAAAAAAATGGGAGGGAGGGGGTTCGAATGCGTCATTTACCCTTCATCGGGAGGTTTTTACGCATAGCATTACGACAACCTGATCCACCAAGGTGGTCTGGTATTCTCTTTCTAAGAGGCTCAATCAGCAAAACGAATCTGCAACGGAATATATATATATATAGCAGATTGGCTCTCATCTTAACGTTTCATTCTTGGAGACATGGTGCCTACGGAGTCACCCACATATATATTTATAGCTGAAATAAGTCATCTTGGGTGACATCGATCTTCATCAGAAGAGTTTTCTTTCTTTCTTTTTTTTCCACTTCCCAGGGCCTTCTTAGTGAGAGTTGCTATTTCACCGTAGCAACTCCAATATCTCACCAGAGATATATCACCCATATTCAGACCATACACATAGATATACCTTTTCTTTCTTTAATGCTAAATACGCATACAATGGGCACCTTGGAGAAAATAGGAACAACAAAAAAAAAATGAACAAAACCACGCATAATTAGACTTCAGAGCAAAACTTCGTTTCCAAACATTTTTTTTCCTTTTTTGCTCTACTTTATCTTCCACAGTCCTCTCACTCTAAGAAAGAGAGAGAGAGAGAGAGAGAGAGAGAGAAAGAGAGCGGAAAAAGAAACCTAGTGTCATTTAATACTGCCGTATCAACCACTAGCACCACCACAAACACCACATCATCAATCTTTTTCTTCTTTTTCCTTTTCCCCTCTTTATGTGGTGGTGTTGTGTGACGGCGTTCCTTACACGCATTTTTTATACCTGTCCACACCTTCCACTGTTGCCTACTTCTTCAGTGTGCGGTACAACTTCTTTCGTGGATGCCTGTTGTTCTCCTTCTTCTCCTCCTCCTGTTTCTCCTCGGCGGTGTCTGCCTCGCTGCGACCCCTGCGCAGTGTGTGTCGGAGTGTGGGGTTGAGGGGGGCGTTGGTGGGGCGCGCCTCCGCCTTGAGGGAGACGACATTCCGCACCGCCTCGCGCAGCGCCGGGCCGCTGACGTGCAGCATCGCGTCGAGCACCACGCGGCCGGCCCACGGCGAGACGGCGAGCGCGAGGACCGCCGGCTTGAGGGCCCGCGCGAGGGCCACCCGCCGACTGTCGAGGCCGCGGCCGCCGCACTCCAGCAGGAGCGCCTGGAGGGCGTAGCAGGCGTGTTGGTGCTGCGCGTAGGCGGGGATGGCCCGCGAGGCGACGGCGTAGTGCCCGGCGGGGCGGCCCCCACGTCTGTTCTTCTTCTCATTCTTCTCCTCATTCTCCTCGTCCTCCATCGCCTTGGCGTTTGTGGGGGCGTCGCTGGGCTCCTCCGAGGCCTCGCGGATAAAAGTGTCCGCAACGGCAGAGACCACCGCGTCGGAGGCGTAGGCCAGCAGCTTCTGCATCACACGGGAACCCTGCGCAAAGGACAACATCTCAGGAAGGTTGGCAGTAAATATCCGAAGCAACTCCTGCTCCAGTTCCTCACGCAATTCAGTTCCACCATACTGCAACATAGACTGAATAAGATAGGAAGCGGAACTATGCAGAACAAGCTGATGTAATTCCTTTTTTATGCTTTTTAACATAATCTGTGTCATGGATACATCATCGCTGAAATATTCTAACATTTTCTGCAGAACTGGTGAAGATACAGGGTTCTGCGAAAGCGTAAGAGCGGACTCTGCCAAACGGCGTCGGTGGGCAGTAGTGAAAAGTTCACCTCGTGCTTCAATTACTGCTCGTAACAACATGGTACGTGCCGAATCCTGGGCAACATCAATAATATCAAGAGATGCATCATTCGCTGTTTTCATTAGTGTAGACCACAAATATTCCTGGCTATCAGGTAGTGTCTTAAATGCTGCAACAGCCACAGCAACAGCCGTTTTATGCGATACCAAGTGTTCAATAAGTCCAGGAAAAGATAATAAGCTCTCCCACATTTCTTTTCTTTGGGCAAGATCAGCATTTTCAAAAACTGTTACATAAGCGTGATGGTGTCGTGGAATACCGCTTTCATCATTGCTGGTTTTTTTGGTTGTTGGTGCGTTTCCAAAATCAGGTAACGCAAATTCATCTTCATCCGTTTTTTCTGCAGTTGATGATGTTTGCTTAGGATTCAAGTATTCCTCTGCATATTCACAGAGATGAGCACAAATAGCATCTTTTACACTTAGAGGGACCATTGGATGTCGAAGAAGTGCAGAAACGGTGATATTTTCATTTAATGACTTAAAAAGAAAGTTGACACTATCTTCATCAATTTCACCATCTTCATCTTTACCAAAAAGAGCCTTTACCACAACCCGCCAACCTTCCTCAGTGGTTTCCATATACTTTGCAACAACACGCTGCCCATACAAATGCACAGCTAGAGCATTTAAGTAAGGCATAAAACGTTCCTCCACCACTTCGAGGGAACTTGGATGCTCAATGAGTTTTTGGGCCACGTGATTACCGAATGAATGTTCACAAAGGCGTCGGACTTCATCGGTCTCAACATTAAGCACAAACATCTCCGCAATTTCCCTCTTTTGCTGAGGCGGTAATTTCTCCAGCATTTCCTGTACAATAACATTACCAACAGGTGATAGACTTAAATCAAGAATTTTTCGACGCACATTATAGAGCATTTGCACTCGGATTAATCCATCGCACTTTTCAAGCATTGATAGAAGAATGTGGTGTGTTGACTTGGTGAGGCAGAGAGTATACGTGTTAGGAAGAATCTTCTGCACCACCTTTGCGCGCTGTTCGGGTGTACCGTAGAGCAAAATAGCCTCCACTTGTTTGAGCGGCATGGATTTACCCGTTGCAATACGCTGCGAGGTGTTTCGCAGAAAGTCCAAACGCATGCCAGGCATTGTTATATATATGTATGTATGTATGTATGTATGTATGTTTTTTGTTGTTGTTGTTGTTTTCTTCTAGTTACTTTTTACCTTGTTTTTTCTTTTATTTTAAATCCTTTACAATTCTTCGTCGATTCGTTTATACTTTTTTTCTTTTTTTATTATTAAACTATTTTACCTTGTCGTTGTTTCTGCTTCAGAATTTATACACACACATAGACATAGTCAGAAAGAGAGAGAGAGAGAGAGAAACAGAGACAGAGACAGAGATAAAGCAAGGATAGAGATAATTACATATTATTACTGTACTGATTCCAACTTTATTAATAATTTGATGGCGTGTTAATATTTATACAAAATAGCAGTAACAAGTGATATTACATTCATCCAATCCATCTACCCACACATACAAAGAGAAAGAGAAATACGGCAAAAAAAAAACTTACCCCGTATTTTCTTTTCCTCATTTTTTGTTAAAAAAAAAAAAAAAAAAAAAAAGAACAAAGTCTTGAATACATCATAACGACTATAAATACAACATACATGTAAATAAACAAAAACAATCACGAAGAGTAAGAACAAAAAAAAGTTTCCAAAAGCAAATAGACTGGCGGGGAGAGGAGGAAAAAAAAAAAACAACAATAAACAACAATAAACAACAGCAAAAAATACACAAATTATCTCATGATCTACTGTTGTTGTTGTTGTTGTTCTTTGTTTTTGATTCCTTTCTCTCTTTCTTAAATCCCATCTCCCACAGTTGCTCCAATATAGTACACTTTACCGTATTCTGTATTGCTTACATCGCTTGCGTCTTTTGCTGCTTGTTGATAAAGTGTCCAAACAGCCACAATTTGTTCCTTAATCAGTTGCTCCCGCTCCTCCGCTTCCAATCTCAGAAACTCTTCCACTGCGCTCTCACTAACATCACCTAAATTCTCTGTACATTTAACATCCTCTTCCTTCTTACATGGGCGCCAGACGGCGTGGACGAGATACGGCAGACAAAAAGGAATATGCCGTGCGAAAGCCAATGCCTGGGCTGCACTGCCAGGGCGTTTCCCTTCACACGCCGCAATTTCACATTCGGCTTTACAGAGAGCTGATAAGGCGGGATTGCGCAGCCCCACGAATGGATCTCGTTTAAGTGCAACATCCATCACCATATTTAAGATAGGATGCAATGGTGACCCTACAGAGTCGCTATCCCATGAACTGCTTGTTTCCCCATATCCATTGTTACTCCCTTTACCTGAACCAGAATCTCTTCTATGGTCCATATCATCAGTAGAGGGCTGATTACCTACTGATGACATCGATGGTATATCCTTCTTTGTATCATTATTATTATTATTATTATTATTATTATTAATATTATCAAGTTCAAGAAGCATACTTTCACGTTTTCGTAGTACTTGTAAAGCTGATGCCTCATTCTTGATAGCATTCATATCTTCCAATTGATTTAACAGATCTTCACGTTTTTGTAATAATAATAGAAATGATTTTTCTCTCTCAATTAGTTCATCGAGATTATAATCACGTACAGAACTAGTTTCATTTATTTCACGTTTCCATATTTTCATTAACTCCTTCTCCATATTAGAAAGATCCTCCAGTTCACGCAAAACCTCCACATGCCTTCGCAATGCCCACAAAGACAAAGATTCTTCCTTCAAAACTTCCATAGTATTATCATCATCATCATCATGACTATCCTTATTTGTAACTTCATCCAACTTCTGTAGAGCTTTTTCACGTTTCCGCAGGACTTCCAATGCTGCAGCTTCAGTCTGGATCTCATTAACATTCTCCAACTCAATAAGTACATTAATACGCTTTCGTAAAAGATCCAACATTGCTCTTTCTCTCTTGATAGCAGCTTCATCATCATCATCTTCCTCAGGAGAAGTGGCTTCCAAACGTTCTTCGCCGTGCTCTAGAGTGGCATCCTCCCTCTTTTCTTCTTCCTTTTCTTCTTCCTTTTCTTCTTCCTTTTCTTCTTCCTTTTCTTCTTCCTTTTCATTCTTTTCTTCTTCTTTTTTATTCTTTTCTTCTTCTTTTTCATTCTTTTTCTCTTCCTCCTTCTCCTCATTGTGGTTCTCTAGAGATCCAGCCGCTTGTAGGCGGTCAAATATGGCTTCACGTTTTTGTAGCTCTTCAAGACGCTCATCTTCCGCTGCTGCTTCAGCCTTTTCACGATTTTGTGTCCGTCGTTTTGCTTCGTGGTAATCATCCACTTCAAGGCCTATGATGGGTAACCACTCCTTTGCTTCTTCTGCTAAAATGTTCTCACGTTCTGCGTCTTCTTTCTCTTCCACTTCATTCGTGTTGAGAAAACCTCTTCGCTGTGCGTAGCGTAAAAGTTTAGCTTCTCTCCATGCTTGTCTGCCTTCCTCTTGATAAGAGGGCTCAGGAAAATCTCCTGGCCAAAACTCTGTATCTTTAGCAATAACTGAAGATACTCCACAAGTTCCAAACTTTTTCTTGCGCAAGCTGGAATTAGGTGAGCCATTCCTTCCATTTGGTTTCTTGGGAACAAAGCGTCGTTCTTTTACACCGGTAATAAAGGCAGGGAGACGCATTCCAAAGGGTCGGCTTTTTCTAAACCATTCCACAAGAGATAATGTATCTTCAGCTTCTTCTTTAATAATAAGATCACGTCCTTCCATATACAAGGATATTATTTGAATTGATTTTTTACGTATATTTTCCTGCATGCGTTTTTTAATACATTGAGCAGTAGATTCCATTTCAATCGAATAAGACATACGATCTCTTTCTTCCTCACGCTCACATGCGTCTCGAACCACCATTTCTGCTAACTGAACATCTTCAACGAAAATACTGACATCATGAAGAAAATCTAACCACAAACGGGTCCATTCGTGCTGTTCAAAAAACAGGATATCATCTCTTGCCTCAGATTCCATCTTCATAATTTGAATTTGGTGAGCCACCAGTTCCTCATACGTCATTTCCTCTTCGCTTTCCTCATCCGCTGCATGGCTTGGAGATATGAGATCCTTCTCTGTTGCATTGCTTTTGTTTGGTGTTAAACGAGAGAATCCTGTGAGAACAGATGGATAGGCACGTTTTTGTACGACTGGGTGATATGGACTTGGTGGCTCTAATGGTTCCAAGTTGATATGAGCGGGTTGATCCCACGGCGGCAATTTCAATGATTCTTTTTTTGACTCCGGTAGTGTACTTTTTGTGAGGGACTCCCTAGAGTTGAATGGGAGTTTCGGGAGTGAGGTAAACATTGCTGCACTTCACCTCATTCAAAGAAAAGAAAAAGAAAAAAAAAAAAAGAAAATGTAAAGAATAAAAATAACAATACGAAGAGAAGTGAATAGGGAAGACCCAGTGGAAATACGAAAAAAAAAGAAAAAAAAAATCACAACAAACAAAGTCAAAAACGCCTCTTTTTCAATTCAACATGTGATGTATGTGTGATGCCCCAACAGTGGCTTTTTTTTCTCTCCATTAAAAAGCAACCTGATGCAAACAAAGAAAAAAAAAAGAGATTTACCTTCAACTTCTTTAATTTTTTTCCTCCTTTTTTCTCTGACCCTTTTCAATCATCTCCATCTCCTGCAAAAGACACACGCACCCAGAGAGAAAGAAAGAGAGAGAGATACACAGTGAGAGAATAAGAATCCGCAACAGGGCATTTGAATGAACAGAGAAACAACAGAATATAACCATCAAGAGTAAAACATCATGTGTCGAATAATTTTTCTTTACTTTCGGTACGTTACTAATACACCATTTTTACCAACTGCTGTTCGCCTGGACCATAGACTTTGCATGGATCCTTCCATCATTGAGGTTGGCTGCGATTGTCCCCAGAAGTTCGGATCGTCCCCTATATTCGTTGCACCATCCGGCCGGTGGCGTGCACGCACACGCAACTGCGATGGTTCCTTTGCATGATAGGCGAGAATGGCCTCAACCTCCTCATTTGGTGGGGCTGCAGGCTCTAGAAGTCCACGCGATTCATAAAATTCCTGTACTTGAATATCCCACTTTGTCTGAAAAAAGGTTACAGCACATGGATCCGGTGGGAGTACACTTTCTACATTTCTAAGTGTCGCATCTTCTAGGGTAGAACTACTATCACGAGAAGAGGCATGTAGATGAAAACTACAACGTGCGGCAAATCCTGCATCCGTATCACCATACACCGTAGAAACATCACTCACATGACCAGATTGCTTGAAAAGCATGCAAATATGTCGTGTGGTCCCTGCATCCTCTGTTGGTAAAGGTGCAACGTACGGTACAACAACATCACCTTTCTTATTAATGCCAGAAGTATTGGTTACTATACCATTAACTACACTTGGCCGTAAACCATTTCCACTTCCTGGTAAATTCGTCACCATATAATTAATAAAAAAACCGTTCTTTGTTCTACCGTCAACATTTACAGGAACTCGATACGGGTAATCAGGAGATGCAATGATGAGTGTGTACCACTCAGCACTGTTAGTATTACCCTCTACACTTCTATCTCCTGCTTGTTTTTCAAAAAAATATATCGAAGGAGGATGCTGCAGATCTGTTAATTCAATATAATTTCCACAATGTGCGGTCATCCAAAAATTACGAGGGTTTAACTCCGTAACAGGTGGTGGTGGAGGTAATGGTTGGCCTGTCTCTTCACATCTACGGGCTCGTGTGGCATATGTTCCTGGAAAAACAACAGACAAATTCACATCCTGAGATACATGTGGAAGATAATGTGGCATGATTTCATGCTTACGAAGATACTTAAGAGAGCGTTCCCGATGTTTTTTCCACGCCAATGTATCCATATTTGGTACCAAGAATCGATGATCCTCATCTGGCAAAGGAGGGTACGATGTTCGTTCAAAATCTCCTACATTCCAATAGATAAAAAAGTCCGGTGGTGGTGTGAGATTGAAGAGATGAGGGGTATCCAGTTCATTCTCATACACCGGGTATTGGAACATGGCATCACTCAGCACAGTCTTCTCATATGGGTACTGAAAATCATGAAGTGCCTGCGGTCGTGGAAGTTTTTCAATTTGCCGGGCTTTTCGATCCGTCTCGCGCTGTTCTCGCGTACGTGCGTCCTTCGTACTGACACGTGTCTTCCAGCCTGGGAGATGATACGGGCGATTGTAGGCGGTAAGAATGGGGTACACACCGTAGCCAACCCGTCGCATCTATCGCTACCAGAATGGAGAACAAGAGTGAGAGTGAGAGTGAGAGAACCTTTACCCAGCTTCCCTTTATGTATATATATATATATATATATATATATGTGTATGCATATATGTATGTATATAGGTGTATAGAAGTGAAAGAGAGAAGGGGAAACAAGGATGAATGAAGAAACAGGGTGGTGAAAATGAAGAAATGTGTACAGATAACAGTAAGGGAAAAAAAAAGAAAAACGTCATAAGAATAATAAATATATACAGTCCGCTGGGAACTTAATAACAAGAACAACATCAAAGAAAAAAAAAAAAACATCACAACCAACAAGAAACACGTGTTCACCGTACTTTTCCAGTGACACATGTTCATCATATACGTTATACATAGTTCAACTGACCAAAAAAAGGGGAAAAAACAGATATACACACACAGAGAGAGAGAAACATATATACAGTAGCAAAAAAATAATAATAAAAGATATGCACCTTTAATATCATATATCATTCCAAAAGTAAGGGGGAAAAAAGAATAACACAATTATTCTAGCATATGAGGTGCGTTTTCATCTTTACATAAACCCAAAAAGGCCTTTTTGTATTGTTTCCCTTTCCATTGTCTCTGTCGTGGTGGACTAATAGATAGACATTCATTTGCGACATCAGTCACTTCAGCTGTACTACTTGCAGCATCACAATCTCTTCTCTTTTGCTCAAATGCGAGACGCAAGAGAACCTGATCTGGGCATGTTTCCTCTCTATACTGCTGCAGGAACTCCCTGTGTGCATTGCTTTGCACACCAGAGTACACATGATTCTCTAATGTTGTGATATGTTTCTCATGAGAGGTTCCAACAAGTTTTAATGCATCATCCTCAAACCTTTTCAGTCGTGTGTAATCACCTTCAATATCCTTTCCAAGAAAATTATTACCTTTAAGCCAGGTCTGATTCGCTAATACACGTGAAAGACTTTTCATAAACTCCATATATGCATCATCCTCAGGATCGCCATAGTACTCTTTCATGGCGTTATTATAATCTAAACAACTCACCCCTGTGATGGGATCGCGTGTGTCCTCTATTGTAATGCCAAGACTGGCCGCAAACTCCTGCTCGGTGACGTCGACGGCCACACTTTTTCGCCGCCGCTCTTCAGCCCGGCGCCGCTCCACCTCGTGGACGGGGAGTGGCCGCATCTCCTCACCGGCCAAGAAGTCAAAAGTGAGATCCAACGGCGGGTGGTGCTGGCGGCTCGACGGGCCTGAGCCACCGAGGGCCGGCCGGGTAAGAGGGTCATTCATGGAAATAGGGTACACTACTATATTGGAAACGGAAGAAATAATAAAAATAAAGTAAATAGGAAAAAAAGAATATTAACCATAATGAAAGACTTTATTATTATTATTTTTTTTTTTAATATGGATTATATTAAAAAAAAAAAAAAACAAGAGCTTTCAAGCAACCATTACATAATTGCTATTGTAATGTTTCTTGATATTTGGGATTAGAGGAATTGTTTCAGCTTTTCTTTCCCTTTAATTTACCAATTTGTTTAAATCTTTGGTTTGCATTGGTCAAAACGAACCACAGAGAAATGTTAGACATAGACAAAAGCTGGTAAAATAAAATAAAAAAAAAGAAACGCGCGGAAACATGCATAGACTCAACCTTATAATATTTCTATGCGCATCTCTTTCTCTCATTATTATTATTTTTTTCTTTTTTGTTTGGCTCAAAATAACTCATCTAGAACAGCATCCTTCTCACTCTTCTGTGTGCGAAGAAAGGTTAGCAAATCATTCCGCTTCTTCGCTAACTTCATCATTGAGAAGTACTCCGCAGAGACATCTTCCATTGTATTTTTCTCTGATCCAAACACTGGGGATGATGAGACATACGCAACGGGTAAAAACCAGTCAACCACCTTACCATTTCCTTTAATAGTACTTGAAATCAATTCTGATGGTGTGACTATGGAGGCCTTCATAACACAACCAGGCTTCGGCCAATATTGTTGTACATTCCAGTAACTCTTTAATCGTTCCTCTAGTGAAACCATACGAACTCCATAGGGAATTGGTTGCTGTAGAATAGCGGTCATCTCAGCATTTCCACCATGAAGAAGGGAATAGAGTGATTTTCTAGAATCTGCTGAAAGGTTATAATGTTTTTCATGTGTTGCAATACTAAAGAGTCCCATAACGACGCGACGTCGAATTATTTCATCGTATATATTAAACGCATTATGTTCCGCAAACAAGTCCATCATCATGGGGACTAGTTGTCCAGCAACATAGGACTCATCTTGTAAATCATTTTCAATGTGATCATACACAATTGGATTACCACTCCAATAAGCACATTTCTGTAAAAAGTATGAGATCTCATCAAGGAAAAGGTACGCTACCCGACGTTGTTCCACCATAACACAATCATTTACAGTAATCACCACATGAGGAATATTAGGAGGTGAAATAAGTGGACGACCTCCACTCTCTAATACGGCTACGTGAATAATTGGTAAAAGTGTTTCATCATTTGGAAGTGCCTCATCTGGTGTGTTAAAAATATCAAGTGATACCACTTTACCTGATGTAGAAGATTCATCATCATGCATAAACCAATCATAGCTCTCTTTTGGTCCATACAAAAATAATTTTACAGGTATACTTTCAGGGGTTTCATTAATGCAGTATAACTCTCGATCAATACTTTCATAATATGCACGTTCATGTTTTGATACAATTTCTTCTAACGAAGATGGCATTACTACGCGATCGGAAGGTAATAATGGTAACCCTGTCTGCTCCACAAACTCACCCGAGTCATCAAGATGCCACCATGTAATTGCCCCACGCTGAGAAACACGTGTTGCGTTATCACAGATAGCACCATCTTCAAGAAAAGATGGCCATATCAAATGCTCAGCAAGTGTTGGAATAGGTGGACAAATGGTAGGGTCTTGACGATGAAATAACTGTAGGTTTAATATATTGGGTGCAGCCACGTCATCTATCTTCTCTTCAGGTGTAGATGTTGTCGCCTCTTGTGCTAACTCCGCATTTTCTTCCTTTATCGTTGATGCCTCTTCCTTATGCACAAAGACTTCATTAAATGAAGAAATAAGTTGATGATAAGCAGGAGATTCCATATGTGTACCTGGACCAGCCCATCCTGCTTTAAATGCAATCTTTGGTTTCGGAAAGGAATTCCAACGTGGATCTGTTACAAACTTCAAACCATCCTTACCACATACTTCATACACATTCCCACTTCGCCATCGACCAAGACGACACGGTATACCATTATCGAGAAACTTTAGAGTTTCTTCCTCTTTTGTATCTGAGCTAGAGGTCTCTTGTATTTTAGGAACAATAACACAACGCCACTTCTTGGAAACTCCAGAGAGCGGGCATTGTGGGGGCAACGGCACACGGGAGAGAACATCGCGTAGTGGGTACACACGAAGTCCATGGTACCGTTCACCGCGGCAATCTGCACTACCTGCCGGCATTCAATGACCAACACTAATACGTGTGGAGGTGGGGGGTGAGGTTGATTATTTCTTCTTGATAAGGTACTTTTATATATATATGAAAGAAAACATCACAGAAAAGGGAAAAAAAAAATTATAATAATAATAATAATAATAATAAATAAGAAACAAAAAAAAAGGCAACCAATATCAAGGTAATTAAAGAAATGCATTTCTTTATTATTTTATTTTTTTTATCTTGAAACTGCACTGCATGGAAAATGTAGTTTTTATATATATATTCTTTATTACACGATGAGTAAGGGAGATCAAGGTGGGTATGAATTAGTACAACGAGCGTGTCACTACTTTCGGCTGTCTGTTTCTCACTAACTGCGCATTACCCGCTGGTACTCTCTGTGCTCCTCTTGTCTTCATACCCCGCTGTCCCACACGACCATCTCCACCACGTTGCTGCTGTTGCCTTGACTCTTGTTTTTTCTCTCCTTCTCCTCCTCCTTGTTGTGGTTGTGTTGATTTATCCTCCTTCTGTTTTGTCTTTTCCTCCTCTTCCTCCTCGGCCTTCCGTTGCGCTGCCCGTTCCGCCTTGCGTCGCATTGCGTACGACTGCATGATGGCCGTCATGTGATGATCCTCCTCCCGCACACACCGCCGAGCGACAAGCCGCGAGATGCGGCGCTTCTCCCGCTGTGCTCGATTTGTTTTGCTAATTTTCTCCTGCCGCTCCTTTCGCCGCTGCGAGCGGGTCTTCATCGGGTCGCCGCCCCTCGCCAGCCGATTGCCCCGCATGAAGAGAAGGAGGAGCCGCCGTGGGAAGTGAAAAGTAAGTAAAGGGGGTGGAGAGGATAGATGTGTCCTATCTGCCTTTATTTGGAATGCAAGTAAGTAAGAAAGGAAGAAAGAAAGAGGGAAAGGGAATTAAGTTAAAAGAGAAGAGATTGGTGTCCATGAGGAATAAAACAAACAAAAAAAAAAAAACAATAAACAAAAAAAGAAGAAAAGAGAAGAAATAGAGATAGAAAAGAGGATTAATGATAGGACAACCAGAACGGTAGTCCATTGTAAGATACTTAGAAGGTGCAAACGTGGTATACCACAGGTTCTGAGAGTAGCAGAATGATATACGGCTCATATAAAAATTTCTCACACACTTCAGAAACTCAAAAAATCAACAGTTTTTACTGTTGAAGTCTCCATAAATAATGGATAAAGCATATTATATATATATATATATATATATATATATATATAATATCCTGTGAGCTCCATCTTTTTTTCTCTCCATTCTC